CACTGCATCATCAGGCGCAAATCACAACGAGTTTCAGAGGTCAGACAGTACTGGTCGGCCAAGACGCCAGAAAGGGTGGCCATTGTGGCAGCCGGGAGATTGGATAGTCGTGCCATTTGGGAGCACGTGGTCAGCGGAGGTGTCGCTGGTGGGGGAACACGGCCGGACTTGGAGGTGGCGGGGCTGCCGGAGAGGGAGATTCGGTAGGCGAAATGGGCCACAAACAGTTCGATGCAACCTAGAACAGAAGTTCCCGTTTTCATTACTATGGACTGGAATACAGCACTGGCTGCAGCCAAAAGCATTCGAAAGGCAACAACTGTTCATAAGACATGTTTGAGCTCATCTAGGCACTGTGTGACAAGCGCCGGATTACAAACTCCTGAGATAACACTCCTCCGTCACCGAAGTTCCGAACCGAATTCAGCAGATCAGGCATCAGGCAAGCGTCTTTTATTGAAAGAGATCAGTCAGAAATAAATAAATGGTGCATGCAACTTGCATAACGAGGGAGCAATTGTAACTCACTGGAGGCTACTAGATCAGACAAGCGCAATAAAGAATGGAATTGCTAATTCAGGCTTATTAAACATCATCAGGCAGCCATGCCCAAACCCCTGGGGTAGCGACCCCCAAGATGCGAAACCACGACCTTGTTGGCTAGACGTCCAACGCTTCAACCACTACGTCACAGGTTCGTTGCCTAGCCAGTTTCGATCGGGGATATACACAATGGTACATTGGCGTTCATCGATCGGTTACGGAACTTACTCGTCCCGCTGTGCCATTCATATCGAATACACATATATCTGCTGGTGCCAATAGCCCCAGAGATTGTTCGTCTATCTGTACAGATTTGACACTTGTAATTTTTGCTACATTTAAACAAAGTGATATAACTACGCTGCATGTAAACAACTAGAGAGTTTAAAGAGGAACACGTACATTTTCCTCAAATAAACTGATCAAGCATTTTTAAACAATGCTTTAGCTTGTTCAACTTGCACAAAAATGGAGAGTTTTACTGGAAATAAGTTGCAACAGGTGGAGGATAAGTAATAATTTTAAATGTATTCGCATAGTTCTGGCAGCAGGCTTTCTGTCAAAGGGTTCCTTAGCAACATGCGACAATCGTATATCAAAACACCACAAAATAGAACATATTTTAACCTGTCTTCAGAAGTTATATGCAAAGTCTATTACTTTGCTCGTAAAAGTCACGGTAAGACATGGAAATCGAAACCTCCAGTAATGCAGGCGGAACGGTAAATATTCCTTGTCCTTATTTTAATCTAACCTAACCCATAGCCTGTATGCCTTTGAAAATTAGTAAACGGCCCCCGGAAGCGGACGGAGTTCCTACTCCTGCGTCCTATAGAAATTACCACTGTAAAAATTGACATCCTTTTAAAATTTTTCAGCAAAGTAGGGAGTGGAGTCCCGAAAGATGCGACTTCAAGACTTGTTGGTCTGGGTCTCTGGGTGTGTGGCCCAATAACAAGGCATTCTTTAGTCTTGTTTATAAAGTTAGTCAACTGTTCTTGACATATTTTGGTATTTTAGTAACTTCAAAGTGTCCTTTAGGGAACAAGAATTGTTGGCGGTGTAAAACGCGGGAAAGGAGGTGTTAAGCTTCAAAAGCATGCAAAGTATAGCACTTCTTAAAGCAGTACATTTCGAAGTGAACTGTATCAGGGTCTACTGCAATCCTAGTTCGCACTTGGGTTTAAAATACGAACAAATGACTAGAAGAAACGAATTTCCGGAAAATCGCCGTTCAAAAAATGTTAAAACTTGCACTCTATCATATTAACAACGGAGAAAATAGGAATATTTAGGAAAAGGTTATCCACAATGCTGGCGGCGCATCCCTGAACGTTAAAAGGTGGAGCCAACGCGAATATGGGAAACCGGCGATGCACTCAAGCTCAGAAGCACACCCCTTCGGCTAATTGAGTTCCCTGTTGCCACAACAACTGGCAA